AAATGAGCATAGTTTAGCAGTAATTGATATATATCTCAAACTAAAAAGTTGCGAGTTCAATATCCACTCCCACGTGTTGTACTAAAAAAAATTCAATTATGACTCTAACTTTGGTGGTGGGTTTCGAAATTTCAAAAATCTTGGACCACGGTCCCTATCTATTCCTAAGAATTCTCAATCATCTATATCTCGAGGATTCTTTTATCATTATTATTGTGTTGAAAATAAATGTTGTGACAAGATAGATATAGTGACATAACGTGACTGCCATAATATAGTTCGCTATAATATGGTTGTCTCCAAATAATTATTAGATGCAAATTTAAAATCTATATGTCCTCTAATAACCATCGGATACATATTTAAAATATATTTTGTAATATTTACTCTCTCATACATCTATCTAACAATGTAAGACTATCAGTCACATCGTAGTAGCCACGTCCATTAATTTTTGTTCTCAATGATATGTTTCACTCTTAAAATAATTTCTAGAATATCTATCTTTTTTATTTTATCTCATAATTAAGCATTTAATATCTTAATTATACAATCCCCACACTGCAACATACTGAAGAGTACTTGGTTTAAACTCTGGCAGAAGAAAAGGGCCGGCTTGGTCTCAACATAAAAATGGGGCAAAGCCCAATGGACTATTCTAATCCTCGGTATCCAAATTGTAGTTTATAACAAAGCCCAATGGGCCCACCTATAACAAAAACTTATTGGGCCGACTGCATAATGGAGATCCAAGATTATAAAAGGGATCTAAAAAGCTAGGGGCAAAAAGTTGATCACATATCCATAACCCAATTATCAATTACTCAATTACATAAATCAGCAATCATGAAGAAAAAAATAATAATTAAGAATTAACTAATTACTATATGATCAAGTTTTTTTAATTAAAAAAAAACTCGTGATAAAAGGCAAATTGATATATTTTAGAATGTAGTGAATAATATATACACGGATTAAATATAAATAAAAAAAAATTTAATAGCACAAAACTGATCATAACATAAAGTAATTTTAGTCTCATTTGTGGACAATAAATATTGTCATTATCATCACTCATAATGCCAACGCAATTAATAGTACTGATGACATCATAAATAAGAGAACTTCAACTCCAAAATGGGGTATAGTATGTAAAATTAATTATGTAATTTTCTAATGATTTAAGATATTAGCAGTTTTGAAAGCTTCATTTGGTTTTGAATTATGATTCATAAAATCGCAATTATAATTGGTATTATGATATTGAATGTGACCTATAAACAGGGTTTCAAATGTCCAGCGACACGTCTCGACAACATCGACACGGGGGAAAAGTTGTTTTTCCCCAAATGTCGTCGACATGTCGACTCAAACGTCGTTTTTTTTTAAATTTAGGTTATTTTATTTTTATCTTCTTCCTACTAACATATATAATTTCTCACCACTTCGATAATTGTAATCTTAGTCTATTCAATGTAACTTTCGCATTTTAATATAAAGATTTAGTAATAAGTATAACTAATCCTGTCATTACCAATGTAAGATTTGGAATTTACTTGTTCTATTAGAAGTAGTTGATTACTTTTAGTGTTTCATAATAGGAATTCACTTGGAAATGAGATAATTACCGATGATAACACCATATCTGGTGGAAGAGGTGACACCAATGCTTACAACCAAGTAGAGGTGGGGTAGTCAAGTAATCCAGGTTAGAAGAACAAAGTTATGGTCAAAGCATTTCTTATTACTCTGGGTATGGTCAAACTGAATACTCACCCTATGGTTATGATCATCACCCTCAACCTTGTAATTGTGTCATTCATCCAAATTATCTACGAATTGGACCCATATTTGTTTCGTATGAGTCATATTCTCTACTCATTTGAGCAACTACCTTCAACACTTTCGATTTAAGATGGCTTGGGGGAACATTGTAATTTATATCAAAGTTATCCTAGATCCTCTAAGTATCAATAAAACAAAATCGGGTAACAATGAACTTTAATTTAATAATTCAAATAATTTTCATGTATGTATACAAGATTTTGTTCCAATATTTTCATTGCAACGATATTTCCATAAGTAATATTACTAAAGGAAATTATAGACAAATAATGTAGGTATGATGGTCAAAAAGTGAACAATAGGCAAATTAAGCTACAATTAAAGTTTACTGATTTAAATAATTTCTATCCATCTTCATTAAAGGAAAAATATTTTTTGGATATTTCAATCGACGTCGACATTTTCATAGTAAAATGTTCATATTCTAATGGTTAAAGGTGATCAATTATAGACTAATTAAGCTACAATTCAAGTTTGATTTACTAATTCAAAAAAATTTCATTAATTTCCACAATCTCCATGATTTTTCCCAAAATATCCGTCAACATCGACATATTGATAAACATGTCCGTAAAATCGAGATCGACATCATCATTTTAAACACTGCCTATAAACCAAAATGTGATAATTTGATCTCCCTATTTATGTAATTATTTTAACCTTAGGTAACAAATCCAATTTCATTAAATTGATAACAATTATATATTAAATTTGAATTAACTTGGTTGTCAATTTTATTAATTACTTCAAAATTCAACACTGATATTATTTATAAATTTTAATTTGATTAATGATGCCTGCACATATTTTTGACTTCGAACATATCCATCTAAAAAAATACTTTTAAATATAACACCCCTTTAACATCTTCTTGAAAATAGCATACTATATGATTTTTTTAAAACACATCGGTAATATTAAGAAGGATTGCTAAAACGGATCAATCTTCATCCTCACCACAGTTGAAAAATTGACATCTCGTAGCAAGGCAAGTACTTTTCTTTGAAGATATTATGGCACGAACATTATAAAGAAATTATTGATGCATATTGATATAATATAAATAAATATTTTATCAATTAAACAATATTATTCAAAAAACTATTTTGAAAATAACACGTGAACTGCTCCTAAAAATCAATACAGAATATAGCTATTCATGATAATGAAATAATCAATTGGAAATCAGATTTAATTGTGAACCAAAATACTACCTTATTTCAATGTGAAAATTAACCAAAACTTGTCAACTTAATTGCCAAAAAAGAGGATGAGAAAAAATAAAAAGGATAAGAGGAGAGTAGATACGCAGAGATTTTTTGGCTCAATAACACCCATCCAAAATAATTACATTTCTAATTCCTAAAATTGAGTTAAGCAAGTATGTCCTGCTTACCATCGTCCTCATTCTCGTCCTTCGCTTCAAGGCCTATCCCTCGGTGTGGTTAGTGCTTCATGGATTAAACGTTGGTGGTGCGTCTCCCACAAATGGAGAAACATACTTTGGAATACTTTGAGTGGAGAGAAATGATGTTGGAACATCGGATCGCCTAAATTGTCAAATGACGGTTATGCAGGCCAAAAATCGTCAATTGGGTTGGTCCAACCAAGAAAGGCAGTGGAGGAAATAACCTAGGAATCCATGTCGAGTACATGGAAGAGTGAGATTGAGGGATGACAGCACGTTACATTATAGTAGCATGACAAAATGAAGGCAGAAATCCAATTGGACATTCCTGCCAGAGGTGCTATTATGAAATCCGAAGATCATCCACTCGGGACGGGACTTCATTATATGCATTCCTCTTTCTTTGAAAGAAGTCAAAAAAAGATCATCAAGGAGATCCCAATTTTGTTAAGATAACTTGTGACCCATACTCACAACCATTTGAAATAAAATGACCTTTCTTGAGCAAACCTTAGCTCGTCATCAAAAGCAGGCTTCCAATCGCTCGGAAAGATTCTATTTGATCCCTAGGTTTTAAAATGTGGTAAGTTTAGTCCTTGATTTTAAATGGTCCATAGGTTTCGAAATGTCACAGTTCAAAAATCATTTAGAACCATTTTCAAAATCATAGAGACTAAACTGTCACATTTTAAAACTTAAAAGAACCAAATAAAACCATAACCCAAATCACAAAGACTAAAAGTATAATTTATCCAATATTGTTTTAGAAAAATTTACTTTTACCAATGAGCCAATTTTGACCTCAAACTTTCAATTTCATCTGATTCCAAAATAGTCAACCTCTCAAAAATGATCTAGAACGACAAACGCAATCTTTCTTTTGGATGGACTCAAAATCGAGAAGCAGTAATCGATAGGAGGACATTAGTTTGGTACAGAACTATTTAAGAGGTACGTTTCGGAGGAGACATGTTACCAATGAGGGAAATCACTGTGCTCATTGCAAATATATGAAGCAAAGATCCTGTATGAAAGCATATCAGAATTCCAGTGTTAGTTCATACTTGGAGATATTTATTGACACTTGATGAAAAACTAACAAAGAACCCACCGAGAAAAATGCGGATCGTCTCGAAAAGTTCGACCTTCTTTCTCTGCCAATTACTCAGATCCCCAATACCCTAAATGGTTCATGAAATCCAAAACTCAGTTAGAATTAAGAATAAAGTATCATTCAAAACAGACATTACCACATGGAAACTGTGATCAAGGCAGGTTATAGAGTTAAAAATACCCAACATTTTCAAGTGTAGATGCCAATGGTAACAAATCTAACATTGAATCATGGGAGTCCTGACAACTTTACAAGCTGGGAGAAGGCATATTTAATGAAGGGAAACAGGTGCATTATTCCCAATATAAGGAGAGTATTTTAATTTTAATCCACCAATTTAATTTCTCTGACTTCGTTGTTATTACTTGTTAAACTAGTCAGCATACATAGCAATTCCAATTCGACTGTTCCCAGATGTGCTCGAATCGGTTTTTCTTACCTCAAACGTATAATTTCCCTGAGAGACATTAACAAAAAGTAGTAGGAGTGCTATAGATGATGCAATCATATATATTTTCAAAAAACTTGCGCGGCTGTTCCTTCGACCTTCAATAAAACAATAGGAAAAAATCAGCCATTACTGTTGAAGCAGATAAAGACATAAGAAATTAAGTACAGAAGTTAATAGAATAACTAGCAACCTAGTTCTCCCACAATCAGTGAAGAGAGACCAGTGATGGCAGATGAAATAGCAAGTTTATCAAGAGTCTCTCTCTTTGATGTCAATATAAACAAGTATACCACTCCACATAACTGAATTAAAACCTGCAGTATAATAAAACAAACCTAATTAGAGTACAACAATATACAGCACGAGAGGTCCAGAGGTAAGCGTTGGCTCCCGTTTTATTGAACAAGTAGAAACCGACATCACTAAGGCATGCACACATTAAAGGATCATTGGATGGAGTAGTTTTATGTCACTACCAAACTCTTCCAGCTCGGTTCGGCCTGACGTCAAAAAGAAGAGATAAATTTTCATGGGTTTCAATAGAGGAAGATTAGTCATTAGAAAAGACATTCCAGTCAGCCAAACTAGAGATGGGCGAACTAGCGGAAACAATTGAACCAAGTATTACATGAAAACTTTCTTGATCACAGATCATAGGCCTTCATGATGCTGAGGTAACAAGGATATGGTAACCTTAATCAGCACCACACTTTCAGCGGATGGGCCCTCTGAGATATATATAACATGATATCATTAGCTACAACAAGAATTAATGTGTCTCTCTCAAGATAAGCCCTACATTAAGCTCATATCACAAGAAATTGAAGGCATTCACTATGAAATTACAGATGTGGATCACACTGACACTACTATCTTATGAAAAATGTCACGCCATTTTTTATGGGATTTAAAGAGTCTTCCTTACAACCAAACTTGACACTCCTTAATAGATCCAATTCTGTTAATAAACAAGGCCTTTGCACTACTGGCACGAGAAGAGCATCAACATAGTGTCATTTGACTGGAAATGGGACAGAGGCTACGGCATTTGCAGTTAGGCAATCTGATGCCAAGTCATAGTTTAACCCCAATTTCTTGAAACAGAATGATAAACCTATACGTACGTACTCATTATGGGTTCATTGCATGTATAGGATTGGTTTATAGTTAGTCAGGGTGTATCTAAAATCAATTTTACACTTTTACTAAATTAACACACGTCATTATACCACTAAATTACAATATGAATTATGTCCTGAAAACAAAAAATGGTGATCATTTTGTTCAACATCGTTAAGTATAGACTATGGAGACGTCGTGATGACAAACACAATAAACATTAATATTTGAGGTAAAAGTAAATAGAATGCCATTAGAAGATACTGCAATTTTACATCATACCAATCAAGAAGCAAAACACACTCGAAGATATGAACATACAAAATTTTCTGAAAAAGCAATATAATGTGTGTACCTGAGCAGAAATCAGGGTATAGAGACAAGATTTGCCTTTAGCAACCTTTTGGTACCCTATAATTAGAATAACCCGTCGTAACAATCGAAATTGGTTCCAATAAGACAAGTTAAAATAGCTAAATGAATCCCATTCCGTATTCCAATGCCTGAAAAACTAGAGCTAAATGATCCTCATCCACTAAGTCATCGGCCTAAGCGGATACAGGACATCATTGAGCATCAAACAAAGACATTTATTCCCCGTATTGTTCAACTTTTTGTTCTCTACAAGATTTCCCACCAGCTAAACAAAAATTAGGAGAAGAAAGAGAGGAAGCTTACGAGAATCGACGACCATCCGATAGGAAAAATCATAGCCATCAGTTCCAGATGGCCTTCCTGCAGCCGATTTCCTCTGATTCATCTTCTTCGTGGAAACTGGACACTCAAAACTCAGAACTACAACCCACGACGAACATAATTCACTACAAAAAAATTGAGTATTTTCATCACCTTTGAAAAAGTATAAAATAAACTTTCGATGAATTTTTTTTTTTGAAAGTTAACTCAACCTTCAAAAAGTGTCGAAAGAATTTTCACCATCTGATAGCAATATCAATGCAAATTCAGAGCAAATCTGATATGCGAATTATACCAAAGTTCTGATAAGCAAGCAGTTCATTAAAGTGGTACAATTTCTCAAATCTACATGTTGCAAAAATGAAGAACTAATATAACCTCATACGATAAAAGGAGTATGATCATAGAAATCCATATTTCGTTCTAAAACCATAAAATCAAAGTCACGCTAAGATAAAGCATGAAAATAGTTCACCTCTCCGCAGAGAGTTAAAGGATCAAGATCCATCAAATCAACCTTTGGTTCTAAATCCAAAGAATTGCAGAGTCCAGCTAAGATACGTAAGCATATATAAATATAAGCCACCTCTACAACCATATAGAGATCAGGGTAAACATGGAAACTCCGGCAGATCTGTTAAGCAGGAGGATTGATCATAGATACCAAGAAGGTATTGAACAAGAATACATAAAAAGTTATATTCATTGAGCAATAATTAAATGTACAAAATACCCTTCGATACTCTTCAATTGGCTAAGTTAGAGCCAGAGGAGATAGAATAATTACAGAAGGATTTGGATAAATGATGTAGTAATTTGTAAGGTGTTTAAATGTTAGTGCTTTCTTTGTAATTTAGGTTAAGTATTTTGCTTTTTAGTATTAGTTAGGTTATTAGTTAGTCTATGGTTAACTTTAGTTAACCATTATTGTAAATAAAACCTATTAGCCCATAAGCTAAGCCTATATATAAAGGCTAGGCTTCCTCTTTTTTACACTTTTTTTATCATTAATAAAACAACCAGCCTAAGGCCTTTTCTGCTCCACCAAGAATGGGTATCAGAGCTTGGTAAAATACTATAAGATGACCAACACCAAGAATTCGGAAGCGGTTAAGGGAGAAACCTATTCCAACAAGCTTCATGTGATTGTGCTTGATATTTAACATGCATCCTTCCCTTGGAAGGCTTAACCAATCGAATGGCAAGGATTGAAGAAGTTGTCGAAGAGATAAAAAGGGCTCACGAGGATTATTGAGGGAGAACACAAAGCTTAGTTCAAAATTAGACAAAGGAAAGGAGAAAGTTGAAGAAAAACAGCAACCCAATGAAAACAAAATTGAATAACCTATTGAATTGTTCGCAAAGAAATATGAGAAGAAGATGAAGAATGATCCAAACTACAAAGAGGAAGAAATTGAACATTCATCCAGCCAAGAATCAACAAGTTCCAGTGAAGAAATATTCATGAAAAGGTCCAAGAACCACACAAAGTCCAAGAAAATGGTCCAAGACTCAGATTCAACCTCCACAAATGATCCAATTCCTCAAGTGATGATGACAACTATGCAAGAACAAGGAGAAGACGAAAATATAAAGAAAAGCACACAGGGTACAAGCTTAAATTTGATTTACCTTACTCTGACGGGCGGCTAAACATGGAAAACTTAGATTGGATCAAACAAGTAGAGGAATACACCAGCGAGTGGTATCGATTAAGGAATGATTTGTTGGAATCCAAATATCAACAAGTTGCACGGTACATCAATGGCCTTCGAGAATCCCCCAGGAGGAATTCATGAAGCATCAGCAATGGCCATCAAGATTGGGAAGAAAATCAAGAAAGAAAGACATTAAGGCCATGGACAAGCAAGTTGGAATGAAAATCAAAGAACTCCCATTTGGAGTAGAGGAGGAAGAACACCATCCGGTCAATTTGGATCCACTAATACAAAGGGAGAATTTAAACAAAATAATCGGAATTGGAAAGAAAAGAATGAATCCTACGAAGGAGGAGTTGAGAAACCAAAAGCACCATCCAAGTGGAGATCAAATTATCAAAAGATTGGGGTCGAAAAAGTTAGTGGACAGCCTACGATCAACAAGAATTCAGCCTCCAAGCCATAAAATCCATATGCAACACCTTCAAATTTAAAGAAATGTTATAGATGTGATCAAACCGGTCATTTTCCAATGAATGCCCCGAAAGAAATAAGCTTGCATTGATGGAAGAAGGCACAGAACAAGAGGACAACTGTGTAAAAGAATAGAAATTTTATGGAAACGAAGAAGAAATCTTTGAAGGAAATTATGGTGAACAGGTAATTTGTATCCTCCAAACTTTTGTTAAATCCAAAAATGGAAGTGAATACTACTCAACGATATGCCTTATTTAAGATTAGAGTGATAAGGTGTGTGATGTGATGATAGATAGTGGGAGTTGCAAAAATATTGTGTCCAAAGCCTTAGTCAAAGCTCTTGGATTTGACACCAAGCCTCATCCTAATCCTTATAAAATAGGATGGATCAAGAAAGAAAATGAAGTGACTATCACATAAATTTGCACAATCCCACCCTCCATTGGAAAATATTACAAAGATAAAATTATTTGCAAAGTTATAGACATGGATGCATGTCACATCTTGCTCGGTAGACCTTCAATTATATCTCTCGGCCATTCAAAAAAGGAACGGAGACACATACGAATTTAATTAGCTTGAAAAGAAAATCACCCTACTACCCAATAAGGAAAAGGAGGTAAGTTCAACAGGTACATCTTCTAAACTCTTCTCTATTATACCTGCAAATGAGGTTTTAAGTGAGCACAACAAGAACCTAGTTGCACTTATCATCAAGGGTTATAATGAAGATTTCTTAAACACTCACATTCCACAAGCTATTTCCAATTTACTGCACACTTTTAAAGTTGTAGTCCTTTTGTCTTTCCTCTTGTACCTTACATATATTAGGGGACTAATTACCAAACTTCAGGAAAAAAACAACTTTATTCTTTAAAACTTTTAACTTTAAGGTGTCATGCTTCAGCAAACTGATGCTTTGTTTGTTGTGCATCTCACCTCTTTGCAAGTGAGAAACATGTTGCAAAGAATGAATTTTATACTTTGAAAACACTAATGGAAACTAGATAGCTTCTAATAACTTTAACTAAAGGTACCACTCAACAAAAGGAGAAAAGATTCAATTTTCTTAGTCCTGGAATCTACAGGACTAAGTTGAGAAATTAACTTTTCTCTGCAATTTCACCTTTCGGCTATAGATATTATTGATGCTACCATTCCAATGTGCGGTATCTTACTTATTTCCAAAGAGCATTCCTTTTTAGGTCTAATGATTTGATTTCTAGGATCCTAATATATATCTCACATCTCAATCCAGAAAAGGAACCCCCAAGCCCACCACAATATATGTCTCAGATACTTGAGAAGTATTCCAATTTAAATACAGAAAACTCTAAAGTTCGTGAGCAATCATTCGGTAAATATAAAACGGATTGTAGAAACCTAAAACAACGCCGGGAACACTGTCTACAACGCCACTAATAAAAAAGAAGAAAAACCAATAAAATCTTCAAATCTCATATAATTTCTAAGCTCCTTTCCGTGCTTAGGTCGATTTATCATCCAATTTCAACCAAAATCGCCAA